AGAACCCTCCCCTGCCCCCCCCCCTACACACATAGCAGGAGAAAGATAGCAACAACTTACTGATCCTTTGGCTGGCAAGAAAGCAAATAATGCAGGTGTCTCAAAAATATGTCTCTGGAGAGCAAGAGGGTAACCTGAAGAGAAGTTACATATTATAATAGCAGGGTCCATCCTACTAAGGCTTTGACATTAGAAGCATATGTTGTTCCAGGTAGTGCAACTGAAGTATGACTCTACACCTAATCTCATACCAAAGCACTGTCACATCCAGGACCTATTTAGTCACCACTGAGTCATGGAATAAAACTTTTCCCTGAAGGCAGAGCAAAGGTAAACTTGTGATTATGATTGAAACAGTTTTCTGCTCTGGCTATGTTTTCTTATACCTTCACACACTTTTCTTTACTTTTTGGGCCATTTCTTGTCTATACAAAAGTCTTACTGCTGCCTCATTGTCTAAGGAAACCATAAGGCAATCTAAGGGAGAAGAAGTTTTGCACAGGGTGGTGGTGCTAGGTTGGTGTCTCCAAACCAGCTTCAGAAGAAGCAGGCTGGCAAATTGCCTCTTCTACTCCTACCTAAATCCCACACAAGAACCATCTAGAACCCAGCTCTAATGTCAATAGAAATCCCCAAACATCGTTGCACAGCCATCACTTAAATTCTTAGATTCACAACTGTGGATGCACAGCTTTCAGGCTTAAGAACAATTTTCACATGTTCCTTGTTAGAGTTTGAGGCATCCGTTCTAAAGCCTTTTATCCTCTAGCTGCTACTTGTCACAGTAGAGTTTAGATTGTCCATTTTAAAAGTAACAAATACTTCTTTGATGCTTTTCTTGAGAGTTAATGGTTAGAGCATTTCTAGAAAAGGCAAATCAAGTTTGCAATATTGACTATCCTATGTGTTACATTTTGTTTTTGCAAATTCTGGAATGGATAGTGTCAATGTATAGTGTCTTAATAATTAATTAGATTAATTACAATCTGGCATCAGGCCTGAAACAAACTTTCTCACCCAGGTAGATGTTTTATTCAATGAAACAATCTCAGGGCTGATTCAATGGTTATTGAATTTCAGCAACATCTTGTTAACATACAGTAGGCAACAAAAGTCAGCTTATTTCACAGTATTACTTGGTTTGGACTGCCAGTTTCATTACAGCTTGTAAGTATCCCATCATTTTAGTCACTTTTGATGTTCCATTATGACTGCTTTATATCTAAAAATGTATTAGTTTATTTCTGAGATTTAGAGGCTGTCTGATTCCAAAATTACTGAGCAGTTTACATAATACAAGAAAAACAAGAAAAAAATAGCAAGAAAATTCTATGCATACTGACAAACACATTCTCTCCAACAAAAACATGTCACCAAGAGGGCTCCACAGGGACCCCATCCTGAGTTTTAAAACCTTGTGGAACATAATTAGGGTGAGAATGACGTGGAGCTAAGTGGGGTAGAAGTCTTATTTCAGTGGGCAGCAATGCAATAGACAAGGCATATTCCAATACATGATATTGATTGAGAGCCCCCCAGAATGCACCTAATAATTATTTTTTAAAAATATAACTTAATTTAAGCCAAAATAAAAGCATAGCATGTAAAACATACATAACAAATAAAAGCAATAAAAATACACAGTATTTCTACAATCAAAACAAAAGTAGCCATCAAATCCCAAATTCAAAATTTTATTTCTATCCTTTTTCAGCAAAAGTTTAAAAGTGATTTCCAAACAGGAGGAGCCAATGTCGCGACAGTACGGACGTGTGGTCTCGATGCTCCGAGACTGCCACTGATACTTTTGCCGTTGAGTGGTACAATCAAAGCTAAACCATCCCGAAGAGATGGTGAACAGGAAGACTATGTCTTGCTGCTATCAGGGACCCCACAAAGTCCCTGATTGAGCCAAGAGAAGATTTTCAAGCTGGTGACAAAAGGCAACCTAGGCCTATGAAGTTGGGACAGCTCCGGAACGGAAGGAAACGGAAAGAGAAAGTGTGTCCATCTGGTGAGGAATCCTTTCTGTTTTGAAAAAGACTGCCCTAAAAAACTTCTTTTTTTATGCTAAATTAAATCCTTAAGCAGAAGTAAGAGGCGAAATTGACCTGCATTGGATTGTTTTGGATAGTATGTTTTTTTTACTTTTCTAATAACACTTTGTGGATTGAGGTGCTTGCAACTTTTTTTTCTCTCCTCTTCTTTTTTTTAATAATTTTTTTTTTATTTTTAATTTTCAAAACAAACACATCCTTCTTTACATACTGTAGAAAATGTATCAGTTGGTTACAAAAAGACTTTCATGCAT